CATAGTTACTCCTCCTTTCTTAGGAACGCAATGAATAGGACTAACCCATGCACTATCTGAAGTATGGTAGATAATTACAGCATCTAACCACTTTAAAATTTCTTTCTTAACAACTTCTTTCATAACAAGATTCAATCTCCTCTGAGGATCGGCCCTGGGTTTGCAGTTCTCTTCCATATGAATTCTATGTATACAAATTGAAGGACTGATTTCTTTAATATCGGCAATTGTCCATCCAAAGGCTTTCTTAAAAATTTTCAATATTTTCATCAATCTATCTTCTTCTTCCATCGTTAACTTCGAGAAAATTATAACTGGTAAAGTAGAAGAATCTTCTAAAAAGACATATTTTAAGTGATCAGGAAGTAACTTCAACTCAAGTTCTGGAGGTTTTTCAATTGATGGACAAAATGATTTATCTTTTTCTATAGTGTCAAGAATTTCAAAACTTTCTCGAACATAGTTTGAATCTTCCTTAAAAAGATTTTCACATTGATCTAATTCCTCTTATTGCTCGTGTTCCAAATCTTTTTCTTCAAATTTTTCTTCATAAGTAGTTTTGAAATGACATTCACTTAGATATCTTATAACATCCATTCTATAGCATTCATCATCTTTACCTTTTGCAGGATATTTCATTGATCTTGAATGTTAAAAGTAACAGTTTGATCATTGACACGTATGTTGATTCTCCTTTTTGCACATCTATCATTGCTCTTCCTGTGGCTAGAAAAGATCTCCCCAAAATGATAGGTATCTCTTTATCTTTCTCTATATCTAGCACAATGAAATCGACAGGAAAGATAAATTGATCAACTTTCACTAGGACATCTTTTATAACTTATTTAGGGTATGTTATTGAACAATCTGCTAACTGCAGAGTTACAGTAGTATGAGTTATTTCTCCTAATCCCAATCTTTTAAATATTGATAATTACATAAGGTTAATGCTTGTACCTAAATCACATAAAGTTTTTGCATAAAATCTTTCTCCTATTGCACATGGAATTGTAAAGCTATCAGGATCTTTAAGCTTTTCAGGAAGCTTCTTCTGAATTATAACATTGCCCTCCTTACTAAGTGCAATAGTCTCAATATCTTTAAACTTCCTTTTTCTGTTAAGAATATCCTTCATAAAGTTTACATGACATTTGTTCTAAGGCTTCAGCAAATGAAATATTAATTGTAAGCTTCTTAAAAATCTTCATAAATTTTAAAAATTGCTTATCCAACTTCTGCTGAAGAAGTCTCTGAGGAAATGGAGTTGGTTGTTTTTCTAAGTTAACTTTAAGTGAAGAAATAGGACTTTTAGAATCTTTTGGAGCGTCCTCTTTTGATTCTTCAATTTCTTCTCTCTCTACTTCAGTTTCTTTTTGAATCCTACCTTCCAACTCTCTTCCGCTTCTAAGTTGAACGGCTTTTACTTGTTTTTTATTCTGATTTTTTGAATTTGTTTTAGTATTACTAAGATTCCTTGGGATCTATTACTTAATGAATTTGGGATTTGTCCAAGTTGATTCTCAATATTTCTAATTGTAGCTCCTTGACTTTGTAACTGATTTCCCATTTTTAACACTACATCTTCTATAAACAACTTCTTCTCCTTAAATTGTGTATTACTGTTGAAATCTGGAGGATAAGTAGATCTATAATTATTATTCCCTTGATTGTTCCAGTTTCTTAATGAGTTTACTTGATTGTTCTCCCATTGCTGATTATTATCACTTGTAGTGTTATTCCAATTAAAGTCGGGATGGTTCTTCCAACATATGTTATAATAATTTGAATATGGGTTATTCTGCTTGTTATTTATGGCATTCAGAGTTTCTAATGATGCTTGAGAATCTACCATTTAACATAATGAATTCTCTTCAATCATGAAAATTTGTTGAGAAAAATTCATTCCAAATTGGTCTAACTTTCTTGAAATTGCAGCAACTTGATTTGCTAACATAGTAAATGCATCAGATTTATGAATATTGGCTACTTTATTTGGATTCACCCTCTCAGAAGGCTATTGAAAATTATTGGTAGGCATTTCTGTCAATGTATAAGCGTCATGAAATGACTTTAACATCAACGAACTACCAAAAAAGGGATCGATAATAGATCTAAGAGATCCAACTAATCCATTATAAAAAGTTTGAATTATTAACTAATCTAGTATAGCATGGTGTTGACACTTTCTTAAGAGTTCTTCAAATCGTTCTCATGCTTCATAAATAGATTTCCCTTCAAACTAATTAAAAGATGTAATATCATTTTAAGCTTCGCAGTTTTCGATAGTGAAAAATATTTAGCAAGGAATTTTTGTGCTAAATCACCCCAAGTTCTGATAGATCCAGGTGCTAACGAATTCAACCAGATTTTAGCTTTATCCCTCAGTGAGAAAGGAAATAACCTAAGTCTTATGACATCATCTGATACACCATCGTATTTAAATGTAACAAACAATTCTAGAAAATTGACAAGATGTAAATTTGGATCTTCAGTTGGTGATCCCCCAAACTGATTATTTGATACCATTTGGATAA